CCTGGAATGCAGAGAGGTGACATATCCCAACATAAAGCCATGGCCAGTGTGGTGAAGGCTGATGTGAACCTGGATGCCAGATCCCGAGATGCTGCGGGGAGAGGGTTGCTTTGGAAACTGGAGCAGATAAGTTGAGTATAAAGAGATGAAAGCACAGTTTACCATGGCAGACCAGACACTTGGAAAACTATTAAAGGTAGCTCTTCTGGCAGATGGCTTAATTCCATTGGGGTTTGGACAAATAAATGAATGACAGAACTCACCCCCCCCCTAAAAAAAAGAAAAAGAAGAGAGAGAGAGAGAAAGAGGCTTCTGAAATGTAATGACACATATATAGCCATTAATTCAGACACTAAAGAGGATAGTATGCTCTTACTGGGCTGGATATAGAATAGGCAGCTTGGTATAGTAGAAAAAACTTGATCTGAATTAAGATCTGGGTTCAAATCTTGATTCCTCAACTTACTTGCTGTGCGACCTTGAGAGGTTTTCTAACCTTTCTCACCTAGACAAGGTTCTGATGAAAGTTAAATAAGTCCGTTACATTGTCAGTAGGCTCCATAAAGCAAAGGTTAGCCCGAGTCCTAACTGAATTACCTGGGTTTTTATTGAACACGTATCTTGCTGAGCCCTACCAAATACCAGGCTGTGCACATATATCTCCCCTGTTCTAGAAAGGCTCCTGAAGTGAAGGCGCAGCTCTGCTCCGGCCTGCAGACCTTCCTCAGGAGGGCGGGAGGCTGTGAAGGTGAGCTTCCCCCTGTCCTCCGCTGGCTGCAGGTGGCATGCATGATGGGCAAGAACAGCCGAGTGCCACCTTGGCTGAACCCCCTGATCCCCATCTCAGCAAACAAGCCCCACTTCCCTCCCCGCCACTTTCCTAATAACCAAGCCAAAGGTTTCACAACCCACTGATAATGCCAGATGGTGATGATGTGGTTTTCAGCCACTTCTGCTTTTCATTTACTCATTTCTCCTGAGAGTCTGTAGGTGCCCAGCTCTGGGACAGGAGAGTTGAAGGTCTTTGGGGGAAGTGGAGAGGGTGAGAATGAGGGACCCTGTGGATGTTTGAGGTTTATTCCCCTCCTACAAAAAAATTGTGTTTCTAGCATCTGAGTGCCCACATCCTTATGGTTAATTATGCTTACCTCAGATCCGGTGGTGCCTCCTCCCCCCTTAGTGTGCGCCCCGTCCCTTAGCCTCTGGTCACAGCAGTTCCATGACGGCAGTCTGATAAGCAGATAAGCACTGGCCAGGTGAGGGGTTGCCCATCCAAAACCCAGCTTTTAACACTTCAGTATTATTCACATATTTTCTTGGCCTCAATTAAAGTCTCCTTTGGTCCAGCCTTAAACTGCATTGTGAGCTTTTATTTGACTTCATGCCCAGCCTCCTTCCCTCGAAGGTTGCCATGTTGGTGGGAGGGCTGATTCCATCCCTCCTCAGTTTGCCTCTGCCGTCGGAACTCATTTAACTCTGACCCTTTTTCTTTCCTTTTCCAGAACTCACATGCTGCGTGTCAGACTGAGCTACCCCTGTTTCATCCTATAATCCAAGACTTGCTCCACCGCCCTGCTGCTGTTCATGGCCATGCCTGGGAAGGAGGCAGCCCCATCCCCAGTACATTTCAGTGGGAGACCTCCATGCGCACCCCATGGAGACTCGATGAGGGGGGAGGGGGAAGAAACTGTAGGAGTGCACGTCCCAAAAGCTGAGTCTCCCTGTGTGAATCAGTGTCACCTCGCTTTCCTCAGAGACCTCGCTGTCCCCGAGAGACCTGCCTGAGAATTAAGGGCAAGAGGGAGCCACTCCGCTTCCTCCCTTCTCCGCACCCTGCATCCCTGCACAGCAGCTCTTGGGGCAGGAGGGCGGCTGAGAGCTCCGAGCCACTGCTGCCCAGCATGCGCCAGCTCAGCTCTGTTGTAAGCTGTATGACCGTGTACAGGAGGGACATGGCATCTTTCTGAATGGATTTTTCTTAACAGATGTGCCAGTGTTTATGCAATTCACAACATTTCCCTTGTCCTCGCTGTTACTGTCACTGGCTTTTTCTCAATCGGCTTCATAGTCATTTTTTTTTTAATGGGGAAATTTTCCTCTTTACCTCCTGCATCCTATATTTGATCCCTTCCCTACCCCTCCAAGGTACAGACTTACCCGAGGTCCTGACAAATGATAAGAAAAGTGTCTTTGGGAAGCCTGTGACTCTTCATATTGTCTGTATTTTGTCACTGAAGAGAAGCTGGTGTTTTACTTGGTTCTGCTTGGTCCCTGACAGCTCCCACTGGAGCAAGTGTTTACACTGAGCCAAGCATGTATATCACTGTGACAAGCCATTTGCATGCTGTCCCATTCGCATACGGCCAGACCAGCCGACGGGGCATTGCAGCCAGGTTGCTCTTTCAACAAGTTACAGATCACCCAGCTCTATTTTAAGCAGATGGAATTATTTGATCACGGGAGGTGAAGTGAGAGGGCTGGGTTCGCAGGTGGGTCTGAGAATAGGACACCATGAGTCCCCACCCTTCCGGCCCAAACGCTTCTGTGAGCACCTGTGCCTGGCCCCCAGGAGACCTGCCTGCAGCCTGGTTTCCACTGGCTTGGGCTCCTGTCTGCTGTCAGCACCAGCCCTCGGTGGCACCACAGACTGTGCTCCACGCTCTGTGCATACAGCTGCAGGGCCAGGAACTTGGTGCCCCCTGGCTCCCCGAGCAGATGTGAAGTCTGGCTACTCCCCTGCCCTCCGTTTGCAGGGACAAGGCTGCAGAGCACCCGGTCACAGCACCAGGAGAAAACTGGAGTCTGGCCTCCCAGCTGTTCATGGGGTCTGCAGCTGGGAGGCAGCTGGGCAGCTGATGGTAGGTGCCCCAAACAGCCAGGGGGTTGCAGGACAGAGCGGCTGCCATTGAGTTCATCCACCCCCTCAGTCCCCAGGCAGAGTGAACTATCACTAAAATGACCGTGACATTCTCGATGTCCAGATCCTCAGAGCTGGGTGCCGCCTGCAGAGAGGATGTGATGATGCATGCTGCTGACGGCGAGGCTTGGAGTTGAGCTGCCTTTTCCTTTTCTGGTTTTGCAGTCACGGTGGCTTCTCTCCTGAGGAGGAGTTGGCTCTCGTCTTAGGCTCCTGCGGGGGTGACCCGGGGACATTCTCACCACTGCCAACTCTTGGGCTATTCTGGGTCTTGGCTTGGGGCTCCGCGGGTGGGCCCGTGTCAGAGGAGCTCAGGGAGCGGGAGGAGGTGGCAGGTCTTGTCCTTAGGGTTTCCCAAGAGAAGCCCCTTCAGAAAAGACCTGGGGGTGGGGGGGACTGGCTCCACAGCACACACCACGTGGTGTGTTCTTGAGAGACACGGGAAAGCTGTCTCTCCATGCCCTGTCTGTCAGAGAAGCAGTGAGCTGCCCGTGACGCTGCTCCAGCTTCATTCTCTCTGCCTGGTTACCAGGCCCAGGAGAGGTGGAGACGGGGCCAGGCCAGGTCTGAGGGAGGAACGGGGAGGCCCACCCCAGTTCCGGGGCACATGTGGCTCTGGCACAGGTGCAGCTCCGTGTGAGCCATGTGTACCAAGAAAGCTCTTCCTCCGCCTTGTAGTCAGAGCTGGCTCTGCAGCCCCATCCTCCTACGAAGAGGATGTTGAGTAAGATCTCATGCTCTCACTTCACCTCTGGAAAGCCCCGTAGCATTCGAGTGAACACTCCAGGGAAGCGGAAAGACGCCAAGGAGCCTCCAACATTGGCCTTTGCTGGTCTGAGCACTTGGTGCTGACAGGGTTTCCCTGCCACCCCCTTCCTGGGGCCACCGAGTCACCATTGTATGTGTCAGTGGTGTGCAGTGTTGTGCAATGAGCATGTGGGTGGACATAAGTCTGTCTGCATGGCCCACAGCCGACATGCGCAGTGGGTGCTGTGCTGAGCCTGGTCTGTGCTCCCTTGGATGAGATTCCAGAAGCTCTGCAAGTCATCTCCCCTCTCCTCTAGCATACCCCTCGAACCCCCAATTTCCTATCCTAGATGGGGTGCAAAAGAGGAGGACACCAGACTGGCTCTTTAGCTCACCTCTCACAAGTCCACCTTGCCCACAGCCCAGTTTCTGTGTCAGTGTCCAACCAGGAAAACAGAAGCCTCTCTAAGTATTAAAACAGAAGGGTTTTAATCCAGGTAATTGTAGCACAGAAACAAGGAAAGCTGCGAGGCCAAATGGGAGTAGGGAGGGGGCGCAATCCAGAGGTGAGTTGGAAGGCTGATGGGACACAGGGGAGAGGCCATGTTACTAGAGCCTGGGGCGCAGGAACACTGGGAGGAACCTGGGACCCTAGGGGGCCTATCCTGCAGGGGCTGCAGCCACAGGAGGCACGGTCCTTGCCAGAAACAACCCCCAGGCAGAGACGGGAGAAATGGCCTGATTCTCCCTAGCGTGTATCTTCCCAATTTCTGCAGGCGCCTCTTGTTAGCTACACCCAGCTGGAAGCGAGCCGACCTGAGGGCCTGGGACAGGCAAGCTCAGCGGTCAGCTCCCCACCACTCAGCGGAGCTGGGAAGGGCAAGGAGCAGGTCTGAGGGTAACCAGACTAGGACATGTATCATGTCCGAGCCTGGTGTTCATGCCCCATGCTGTCCTGAGGTCCCGGTGAGGGGAGACAGAGGAACTGCCCCTGGGTTTTTATAGATTTTTTTTCACTCTACCCAGAGAGGAACGTGCGTTTGAGAGGGAGGGAGAAAGCCTTTATTCTTAGCAGTTGTCCCTGTTTTCCTTTGGGGGAACTTACCCAGGTAGCAGCCCTACCTCACCATGGCTCTCAGGAAAGCTGTGACCCAGGTATCTGTCCCCCCTGCCCATGTCTCTCCTCCGATCTCTGGTTTCCCTGCCGGAGAACAGTGGCCCCGAACATGCACCAGTGGTCAGAAGTGTTTCCCCAGGACCATTCATTCGGAGAGCGACATCAGTGTGCACCGTCTGTAGGTAGCTGCCATCTACTGATCAATCATCGTGTTTCCAATCAATTTCGGGAAATGATGCCTGGTTTATGCTGGGGCAGTGGCTCAGCTGTCCAGCTGGGTGCACACAGCCCTGGCATCAGGCGCTCCTGGTCTCGGGTGCTGCATCCCCTGCGAAGCTCTGAGGGCCTTGGGGAGTCATAGGCCAGGCCAGTGACCTGATGTCCCCACATGCCGAGACTCTCAGGGTTTGCATCTTCTTCTGCTGTCTCATAAGCCAAATGGACGTTTTGTGAGGCCAGGTCACTCCGATAGGTGGCCTTTGACCCTGTGTCCCCCAAACCTGGAGGTATGAGGAGCAACAGACAGACGTTTGCCCATCAACCACCTTGCACTGCTCTGCCCAGTGCCAGCCGGGGGGTGTGAGCTGAGGGCGTGTGCTGTGCCCTGTGCATGGGGAAGGCTCCTGTGCAAAAGAAGTGGACGCAGGAGCTGCATGTTCCACAGACAGAAGCCCAGCACCCTCTTCTCATACCGTCCTCCTCGGGCCTGAAAGGCAGAAATAACAATGTCTGAGGTGACTTAAAAGGCAAAGGGAGCCTGACCCGAATGCCCTGCATTCTCCCTTTCTTTCCCAGGTCGAGTGCTGGCGCCTGCCTGGAAACGTTATTCTCTAGTGCGTATCTCATTGGTCCCAGCCTGTCTGCCGGCTGGGTAGACTCTGCCTCAGTTGCTGTGCTGGGCCATTGCAGGCTCACTCGGGACTGCTCCAGGCCATGTCTGGGAGGAACACCTGTTTGTGACTCTTGTTTGCTGGCATTTGTGAGAGACTAAGAGATTGTGAGATAGAGATAGAGAGATACAGAAATGCAAGAGAGGGAGAGAGAGATTGTCAGTCCAGGTTTCTTTCCGGAGTTTCCGGAGAAGCAAGACGTAAGCACGTGAGGTTACTGGAGAACAGAGAAGCTTGTACCTTGGGCTGTGCCAGTACTTGGAGGAGTTCCGGGATAGAGGGCTCAGTGAGGCTGGACCGGTGGTCAGGGAAGGCTCTGTGAAGCAGAGGGAGCCCTCAAGGTCGAACACAGCAGCCCCCCCTCCATGGAATCCCTAAGGTGCCCATGGTTCTTGGTGTCATTTTATTTAGACTTTTTATCCTGACTTGAATACTTCCTTCTTTCTGGAAGCTGATCTGTAGAGCTCAGAGTGTCCCATGCCCTCCCTGCCAAGGTGTACCAACCTTAAGTTCCATTGCCGAGACTGGGTTTGTTATGGTCAAACTTCCTCAGGAGGTTTCTTCTGGCTAAGTTTTACCTCCTATTTGTTCCACTCTTGCTCCTGAACTGCAGGGGTCACTGGGGGAAACCATGCAACCTGCAAGGGCTGTTGCTGCCCCATAGCTGTGGGTGCTGACTCCCCAGGTACCTTTGCGCTGCTTGCTTAGTGGCCCTTTTATATGTATGCTAGGAGCTTGTTATCTTTAAAAAAATGTTTTTATTGATTTCAGAGAGGAAGGAAGAGGGGGGGAGAGAGAAACATCAATGATGAGAGAGAATCACTGATCGGCTGTCTCCTGTATACCCCACACTGGGGATCGAGCCTGCAACCTGGGCATGTGCCCTGACCAGGAATCAAACTGTGACCTGGTTCATACATCGACACTCAACCACTGAGCCACGCAGGCTAGCGGGTCAGGAGCTTGTGTTCTTATTTTCAGAACCAGCTATTCCAGTCCTTTGTCACTCCCTAAGCCCTCACACGCCGAGAGCCAAGCTGTCTAAGAATCCCTTCACCTGTCTTCCCCTCCGCCCAAGGCCCTCTGTATGTAATAGTGCCTTTCCAACAACCCAAGGAGGCACCCCCGGGCCTCTAGAGGACCCCTCTGGCACCCACATGCTGAATCCATCCCTCCCTGACCCCCCTTGCAGTAGAATGTCCTGACTCAGACCAGGCTGTCACTCACTAGCTATATGACCTTGGGCAAGTTATTCAACCTCTCTGTGCCTCAGTCTTTCCATCTGTAAGTTAGGATAATGGTATCCACCTCCTAGGACTAAATAAATCGTACAGTGCTTAGTACAGGGCCTGGGACAGAGTGTTTTTTGTTCTATCATTTTCTTCCCTCTCCCCTCATTTTCACCTTCTCTCCCTTCTTCCACCACTGGATTTAAATTTCTCCATCTGGTCAACACAACAACAGAACAATCAAACCACCACAACTTCTGTCCTCTACTTAGCTTTGCCTGAAGCTATTGGCGTATCTCCGTTTGCTGGCAGGCACATTTGGAAAAGGGAAGAGTTGTCTCCATTGCTTCAAATCTCATTAATATCTCAACCCATTATCGTACTTTATGGCTTCCATTCTGCCCCTACTCCCAGCCACTCACTGAAATTGCTGTCGATAAAGGCATTAGTGACCTAATTGCCAAACCCAACACTGTTTTCAGTCATTGCACTTGAACTTTCTTGAGCATTTGAAACTGTTGTCATCATATTAC